TAAAGTCAAAATGTCCCAATCTCAGCTTACTGAGTTTCTATGCTCAGAATATATCCTCAGCTATCTGTCGTTGACTGAAGTTATTTACCTATTTCTATATCATAATGTGTATTGAGCAAACTTTGGTACAGAAGAGGTGATTTATCAAGTGCAACGAAACCGCCAGAAATGTGCATCCAAATTTCACCGCGTATGTGTGCTGTAAAAAATTGAAGTAAAACAAAGTTAGCGTCTATAAAATCAAATGATCTGATCATGTATGTATACCAGGTATTCCCTTGCGAACGTATCGTTTCAGCTTAGATGATTTTCTGTCATGGAAATTTGGTGGATTTTTCATTAAATTCTGCCATTTCATACGACGTTTAGTCAAAACTTTGTAGTAGTTTGTCATAATACTATCGTAGGCAGCATAATCGAAGTTGCAATCACGTTTGAATCCATATTCATCAACATCGCTATTGAACAGAAAAGAATTGATAAAAAAAATGATTGATTAACTTTTAGATGAACTGCTGAGAATATTCGTTGAACGTGTTTCGATATGTTGTTAAATGTCAATCTTGAAAAAATTGTACTCAAATCGACAATTTGAAATAATTTTTCGGAGGTTTTCAAAACGTGATTACAACAACACTTGTCCAGCTTTTTCGTACAACCTTTTCCTAGTTCCAGATTTACGCATCGAAACACATCTAACGAATATTCCCAACAGTTTAGATGATATTTTAGTTACAAATGTTACCTAAACTTCGATTTGGCCATCATATTACTTTAAATTCAATTAATTTATCAAAATACTTTGTATATGTCACTAGCTACAATCAAAAATTCCTATCCACATATTGGTCCAAACAGAAAACCGTATAGATTAGGTTTCGACTGTTATCACAAATTAAGTGCAACCCAAACAGTGGGAGTTTCTCTTGCTATTCTAATTAAATAAATTTACTATGTTTTATTGTCAATTTAACTGTATTTCGAAAAATATTGTTTTTAATTAATATATTCGACACTTTTATTATGTTATAATTGCGTAACATTTTGTGAAAAAAAAAAACTTGTTTTCATCAGATCAAAGAAATGAAAAAAGAACACATTTCACTTTTGACGACATTCCATATCCTGAAATATCTTAAGCAAAATAATAATAATTAGTGTTCATTGTCGCCACATCGCTTGCACACCCCAATGAAAATGAATCGAATGATTAATTTGCATGCTTTTTATTCAATTTGTGAACGTAACTAAAACACATGTGATATATATTTCAACACAAACTAAAGAGTTCCCAATACACCTGTATTTGATTGAAGATGATTCGAACATATGGAATCATAATATGCATTGTTTTGCGAATGGCATGAGCTGAATAAGCATTGCTGTCATTGTTAGCTGTCAACTGTCAGCCGATATTTGAAACTGTCATCTCTCATACACATACTTTATATACCATCGTTTCAATGTAGTTGTTATCGTTTCTCCTGTCATTTGTTGTATGCATAAAAATAGTGGCCGCTTCCGAAACAATGTACTCAAATTGAAAAGAACAATTGTACATTTTTGTGTTAATTACCATTTTAAATGTGAAGAAAACCTATTTTAGAACAAGTGTGTGGTACATGTTCCAGCGATTGAACTGTGTACATATATTCGTCTCAGTCAACATATTTTTTTTTGGTCAACGGCACTGTGCCCTTTTATCTATGACCTTGAGAACCCGGAAAGTGATAAGCAGAGCGACAATCACCTTTCTACTTATCTTGAGAATGATTCCCTAGATTCTTTTTTTTTTGTTGCTGTTGTTGTAAAACTTTTCATCTGGAGCACCACTTCAGATAATATCCAATTATATTACTTCAAATAATTTTCGACAATTTGGCTCTATGTATATATTGATGAAAACACTTAGCGTAAATCAAATTTTTAACAAACGAAATGAATGTCGAAACAAAGAGGCGATAGAAAAAAAGTGTTGATGAAATAATTACTTTTTTGGATTGAAATATGTAAGATGGCAAAGACATGAATATCGAATATTTGAACATTTGTGATGTGCGATACCCGTGTGTCCAAATACATAATAAGAGGCGTAACCTTGAATCCAGTCTTCATTTAATAATATTCTCACACACAAATGCTTCTAATACTAACATACGGGTTGGTATGAGTGCCAAACGAGCTGCGTGTGAGTAAAATAATTTGAAGGAATAAAAAAACTGCGTAATGCGTAGTAAAGATTTTATTAAGTTGAGAATGGAAATTATGGGCTTTGAATAAAGTATAAAATTCATTTACGTAGCTCAATTCGGTACAACATTCGGTGGAATTGAGCATTTAATGTCAAATCCATAAACGGATGATGCCACAACCAAAAAATTGTTTTGCTTCTCAAAGTGCACAAACACAACGAAAACTACAGATGTTGATTTTAATACATACAAGTACATATACTAAGTTCGTGTAAATAACGACGCACAAACATACACATACACTTGTAAAATCATCTACACACCAGTACATAATCACACAAACCATGTATTTCCGCCTTTGCAAAAAAAAGAGAGACTATAACATACATAAATCATATGCGAACCTTGTGATGCAGACCGCATGTATGCGTACAGCGAAAGCACCGATTGAACTGGCAAAAAAATGTGTGAACGTGTGCGTGTATAATAATACGATGACTACATGGACGGACGGAAAGAAGTCTTGTTCTCGCTTTCAAGTGCCACCACACACAGTATATGTCATCATACAGTATGAGAAAGAGATCGTATTTCGTGTTCTAAATCAAATTTGATCGAAAGTTTTAATTTTGTTCTTTTTTTATTCCATAATTCTCAATTACTAAATAGCTGCAATACAATAGTGAATTGGTTTTAAAATGATTTACTGAAGAGAAAAGAACCATAAAATTTACGAGAGCAAAATAGTGTATTTTGAAACGACAGCAAAGATATAACACGGAAGACGTGAATATATTGTGCAAATAAAAAAAATATACGAGAGCTTCGAACAAAAATGACAGTGAATACCAGCTGATAAAGTAATTTAAAAAAAAAACATCATTTTTTGCTATTTTCCCATCTGTGAGAATGTTGAATGAATTTGTATGAGTTGAAAGAGAGAAAACCGGGTAAAAGTTAAATTAATGAAAGGAAATGTTATGCTCAAAATGAAATTTTCGAATCTAGCCTTTAGTGCTTTGAATTTAATTAAATTCACTTCGCCATCTCATTTACACATATGCGTAATCAAATATCGTATTTGCAAATCTACAAGTTTGCTTCCCAATGTAGACGCAATAGAAGAAAGACAAAAAGAGGAGCAACGAAATAGCATTTGATTTAATTTGATCACATCAACACATACATTTTCTAAATCTTTACATTTGTGTATGAATGTATATTTCGTTGTATTTTATTTAATGAAGAAATTGAAAAACTACAATATAGGTGAATTAATGAAAAAAATATACGAAATATAGAGTATGCTCGAGATTCGGTGTTATCTACGGTTGGTGAACGCGAGCTATTATCGACGCAATATCTGTCGTGTGTGATAACCGCAAAGCTGTTCGAAACGGAAGACAAATTTCGATGTGTATGCATTTGTATTTGAGGAAAATTAAAAGCAGAAAATCGATATTCTAGCACGCACTGTGTCGATTTTTCCTTTGCTTCCCATTTCCGAGTTGGGCATATACTCTGATTTCTTCGGTTCATGTCCAAAGGGTGGTGGTGGTGGTGGTGGTGGTAGTGGTGCCGAACGTTTCTGATGGATGTGTCAATAATGCGTAACACATACTATCCAACATGTAGATTCCCATCGTGTTTTAATCTCCAATATGATTTGCACTTCAAGTTGTAACTTTTCTCTGAATTTTCATTTATCCATACAATTATTTGTAAATAAATCAGGAAAATAAAATTCAGTACTTTTACTTCCATTCTAATTCCGCTGCCTGTTCGTTCAGCTGTTTCGTGAACACTCAAAAATCGATTTTAGATGCGGCTAACGCTAGCGCTCACCATCTATGTATTGGTGAAACATACGCGTGTAATATGTACTTGGCCTTGGAATGTTTTCATTTGATGTTGTTGTTTTCGTTTGCTCTGATGATGAGCTACTAGCTAAATTACGACTGTGTGTCGCAAGCGAATTTTTTTTTTGATATGGTATTTCAAGTGGTGAACGCTATCAAATGATTATATGAACCATAATTCATGGTTTTGTTAATTTCCGGACTAAAGCGGCAATGTTTAAATTTTCAAGCCGACCATTTTTTTTTGTCTGACGTTCTAATATTTATAACAATGCGTTTGTTTTTCTCTCGACTTATTAGGAAAGCGGAAAAGTCTCACTGAAACAACGAACAAATACAAAAGAAGTGAAAGTAAAAGGATGTCAGGCAGTAATAATCTGTCATATTCACACTGGAAACCAAATTTATCACTCATTAATAATGCTCCAGCAACGGCCTCGACTTCAAACTATCAAAACCTCATGAAGCTGGCCAGCACCGGTGCTGGTGGACACACAGTTATACACCAACATCATTCGGGACAGTTGAGGTAATTTATTTGATTTCAAAAAATATTTGTAAAAATTTCGAACAAATCTGTAAGTTTTGTTTTCTTGCATGAAAAATTTAGTGAAGAACATTTGATACCAGCTCACAGCATACATTCTCCTCATTCTATGAGCAGAATCATCGGATCACCCGGATCATCAGCATCACTTTACTCTCCCGGCTCAAATGCAAGCTCTTCAGCTGGACCATCAATACCAACATCGATGCCCATACCACGTGCCCATCAACACAATGTACCAATCATTCAGACACCTTCGTCATTTGTCGATCAAGGCCATCATTTGGATATATATTCGCAAATTGGAATGCAACGAATCGGGCAAATGTTCAAAACCAATTTAATGGCAAACAATAACAATAACACTTGCAACAATAAAAACTCCAAAAGTAGTCGTCCAAATTATGAGAATGCTATCAAGATGGAACAAAGTATGAATAACATCAAACAATTAGTCGAAAGTGCGATTGGGTAAGCAAAATGAATTCTTAAATATGCTCATTCTAATACATATTCCAAGTCACTAATGCTCAAGACAAGTGCTGTTTTTTGCTCAGGATAAATTTTCGAAATTTTCCCAATGGGAGCAAAAGGATTTTTGGTCGGTATGGCTCGCTAGGCCACACCAAATTAGGCCATTTGCCACCATTTATCCGGGTCGATAGTCCCCATAGGTAGGAAAAATTGACTCTCGTATGTGGAAGATTTATCCGCGAGCCATACCGACCAAAAATCCTTTTGCTCCCATAAGTGGTAACGTGCAAATGTTTTCATTTCCAAAATAGAAGAAATTGAATGGGCGCATTTCCATACGACGGAATGTGTGCATACAGTTTTATACATTATTCATTTTCGATTTCAGAATTGAGGCCAAGCAACAAATAATGCATATTTTGGAAAAAATCTCACTGCTTCAACCTCCTGAACGATTACTGTTATACCTTAGAATGCCAAGTAGTACTTCAGAGACAGGTTTCTAATGCGAATATACTTAAAATTACGTTCTTTCGAAACTTACACCAGTTAACCATTTCAGATCCTTTACGACAACCGCAGAATCCGCTGGGTACACGTTCCGAAATCAATTTTACGATCAATTGGGTTCGATCTCACTTGGAAATGGATCCGAACGTTTCAATACCAAAACAAGATGTTTACGATGAATACGTGTAAGCATTAAATAACCGTGTTGTGAAATTAAAATTGATTGGAATTTTTGTTTTATTTCTGAAGAGCCTATTGTGCACGCGAAGATGTAAAACCATTATCAACGGCCGATTTCGGTAAGGTAATGAAACAAATTTTTCCGAGCATTCGACCGCGTCGTTTGGGAACGCGTGGCAATTCACGCTACTGTTATGCTGGTATGTTGTTCACAATAAATCCTACATGCTTCCATTTGTTCTGATTTCAAAGTGGTTTTCTTTTCCAATTGTTTGTTAGCTATGAGAAAGAGTACACGGTTGGAGTGTCCGCAATTACCGAGCTTAGGTGGAGCACGGAATGATTCAAATTCAGAACAGCCGATGTTGAACAATGAAACTGAATCCGAAGCAGGCCTAGGATCGTCTGCATCATGGAAAATTATAAAGATGTGGGCCGAAAATCTTTTGAATGTTGATTTTAAGGGACCAAATGAATTGGCCGATCATATTTCATCAAATTATATGAGTGGAACTCATGGAACGATAAGTAACAATTCACGTGCATTGCTACAGAAAAAGTTACTTCAGCGAAAAGTTAAAGGCCGCAAAAATAAGTCAATTTCTATGTCCGAAGTAAGTTCAATGAAGTTTTACTTTTTATTCTATGGGTGTCTTCTGCTTGTCAACTCTATTTTGTTGAATGATTTCTAACGTAGTAATCGATATGACCCGTTTGATTTTTTAACTGTAGGAAATAATGGGTGATGGAAAGAAGCGACGCAAAAAGAAATTGAAAAAATCGTTGAGTCAGACAAACAGTGAACCAGCCGATAATGATTCTCCAGAGAGCATATCGAATACAAATGAACAAAGTGTATCTGATGAAATATTGCAAATTAAGCAAGAGCAAACGACAGCTAATACGCTCACGGATGGACCACTGTCCAAATCAACGTCACAGACGATGCCAATTAATTTGACAAATGAACATGGAAAAATTAAGAATGAAATAGAATCACTTTCGTACGCTAGTTCATTGAGTGAGCCAATGGATGTGCACGACTTTCCAAGTGCGATTTGCAAAATCGGTATGTACAATATACATATATTCATTCATAAATTATTTTGCCCACGATAACAACAACCAAATAAATTCATTGAAAACTCTACAAAATTTCAGAAATTGATGACGCTTCGGACATTGAACACACAGTATATTGCAAAAAGGTACGAAGAGCACAAGAAGAGAAAGGACTATCTGTGTCGTTGACATCACCTAAAATGTCACAACAATCACCGGAGATGAAAACATCGACACTGTCTCCGGCATCATTATTAATGCGACCTCCTCTGTGTGAGGCACCAACCGATTTGTCGGTGAACAGTAACGAAATGGCCAATGTTAACAATTCAGATATTCGCAATGACTCTCCAAATTCGAATATGTTACAAATCCCAAATAAACGAACCACCGCCAATACAATGGGTCGATTGAAGAAACTGCGATTTATTAAACACGCCTCAGTGGCTGGAATGAATGAGACAAAAGTTGATGATATTGCAACGGATATAATAATACCTCGCGAACGAGTTGTCAGCATTTGTAATATGGATAAAGACGCCTTGGATGATTACTTAAACGAATCCTGTGGTGACTCACAGGAGCAAGAAGCTGAATTACTACAATACTTCCAAACGACTTCAGGCCAATACAAAAACACTCAAAATACGTCTACAGATACAGTCGCATCATCACATACTGCCACCATTACAACTAATTCGAATACGATTCCAATCACAAATGCTTATCCATTGTTGGAAAATTATCAGCTTCATCAAAATGCTCCTAACGAAAGTGGTGTTCTGGTTGCTGATAATCCACAAATGACAAGCCCTTTAACTTCATCATCGAATCAAGTACCACGGAAGCAGGATCAAATCAATGAATTACGTCAATATTTACAACAAAATCTACACCATCCACCGGTCATCCAAAGTAGCACATTGAAAAATGCTGAAGAACGATCGGTGACCTCAAGTTCACAGCTAAATTTTAGCAATGAATTCCATGTTGATTGGAAAGATCCCGAAACGGCAATGCATTCGGCTTCAAGTTCGTTGACCGCACTATCGTTGCCATATCAACAAGCTTCGCAAGATCATCTTACCGAAGATACCTCAACCAATGTGACAACCATCAATGCAACTGACAAGAAACATTTGTCAATAGCTGCAACACATGCTCCTATAATGCGGTCGGTTCGAGCATCGTCCGCAATAATTCAAAGTCAAGCTCAACAAAGCCCAAATTCTCGATCGAAAACTTTCAATTTCGTTCCAATTTCACCTGGTCCTCAGTCACCGCGCGTTATTCCACACCACCTTCCACAGCAATCGAATATTCATACGATCAGTAGAAATACATTTTTGAGTCCACGCCGTTCACCGGCCGTACGGAAACTGGTGAACAAAGACTTGAGCAATTGTCTAAAATCATTACAAGATCCGTCAATATCCACATTTGATACAACATTCAAAACTGAAATTAGTGCTTCAGCACCAGCAAGCCCATCCATCACACCGCATCATTTTCAATTTAACACAACGATAATGAATCCATACAGCAATGCCTCCTCGAATACGGCAACTACAAGCTCGAATCAACCGCAAATACCTCATCAGCATCAGGCATCATGCTCCATATCTGGCATGTGTCCTGTATTAGAACGATCTCAAAGTGTGCCATTGCATTGTCAGAGTCCAGCTTTTAATGCACCAGTTTCGAGTACCGCATACAATTCTGTATGTAATTCTGTCGCACAAACTCCAGTGCCATCCGAATTTGCGGACTTTACGGAAGATAATTTTCTTGAAATGCTGGCTGAGTCATCGAATGACCATCAAATCAAAGTTGAGGCCAATGATGTACCAAGCCAATTGCACGGTGATTGTATTCGCAGCCAAATTTCGCGTTCAGTCCCATCAACACCCTTGCCAATACACGGATTCAATCACTTGAATCCGCTGAATATTTTCGGAAATGTGACAAGTACTGGCATAGCAAGTGGTACAACATTATCAAGTAGTTTGCTAATGTCTAGCTTATCAAAACATACCGTCGATAATTCAAAATCAGTTCCGACCACTCCGATTGCAATGATTGGAAATAACAATGCTACGCCATTCCGATACAGTCCAGATCATCATCGTGATTTTTTAATCAACGGGAATACTGTTGATACGGCCAAGGGGCCAAATCAGTTCTATCCATCACAACCGAATACATCTAGTTCATCGCAGTCGCAGAGAAATGCACCACAACATCCATCTGTGTCATCGACGCAATCACAAGTTTTGCTTGCCACCAGCACTCAACCGATTGAAGATTTGCCAAATTACAGTGATGTCAACGATCCAATCATTGAAGATTCACACCTTATGAATAATCTTTAAATGTTTTTAAATTGAAAAACACAACTGGACCTCTACTCATTCTGATATAGATAGGTAAACGACGTACTACGGATATGCCCAATTTATATTTGTTATTGTTTATCGTATTATGTTGTGTTTGACACTGTTTTTGTACATTCTGTGTCTTTCTGGATCAAAACCAAGAGTTAGTTATATATATATGGTGTAAATGTAATTTAGTTACGATTGTGTCTTAAAATTGTACACAAATGTAATGCTATGAGATTATTATTATATGGTGTTGGAAAACAGTATCTATAGATATGCTTTAGCATAGAAAATTCTTTGATATTTAATTTTTCTTAACAAAAAAAAGGTTATCAAATCAGTTTCATGTAAGGGAAAATTTTTCCTGCACAAGAAGAATAAAAAAAACCAAGACAAATGCTAGCACATTGAAATAATACAATTTATGAATTCAAATGTACTTCAATATACTATATGTACGGACCATATTATATCACATCTTTGTTTATATTTTCAATGGTTTAATTGCTCATGCAGTTTATGTCTAAAACTAAAACAACAGAACAATGCTAGTTATGATAAAATCGTTAAATTTATTTCAATCAACGAAGAGATAATGTTGTGAACTATTTTTGTGAATGTTTTTAAAACAAAATTATACTTAAAATCAAACGGTTTCATCGAAGAAAAAAAAATGTTCCATTAAATTAACATAAAAAAAAGAAACATCAACACGTAAAATCAATTAAATCGATTTAAAAAAGAAAAGAATACACAAGTTTATAATGGATTTTAATGTTATGTAGTACAAAATATTTTTGCATTTGCAACAACAACAAAAAAGAAGATTAAAATAGAATTAATGCACCAGGACGAAAAACAAATGATTTCCTTGATTTGAAAATAATATCAAACGGAATATATTTTATTTACTATTTTATAAGATTATACTTTAGCCCAAGTGAGACCACAAACATCTTTTTTGTGAATAATATTATATATATTGAATCTGTGTGCCATCTAACTGGGGTATTTGTATCTATTTTTCTAATTCTATCAATAAATTATGTCTGAATTGTGTATAATTGTTTTTTTTTTCATTTTCATTTCAACACTATTAATTGATACAGAATTCTTTTTAAAATCTAACATTTCTCTCGTTCCCAATATTCATACAGTTGGTTTACACTGAAATTTCAGTCGATTTTGACGGAAAACAAGTCTACATAAATCAAAAGCAACCACCTCCACTGGCATTTCTGCGAATTTGCTTCACGTGGTTTATTTTAGTACATAGTCTAAATTGTGTTTGTCAGTGTCAATGTAGATTATGCTGTCAAAACAATAGTTGTGCAACCGCATTATAGTGAACGCTACGCAAATTAATTTAATAAGTCTATTTTGTTTGATTGTTGTGAACATTCAGTAATTAGGTCTTTCAGCAATGGCACTCGTAATTGGTCGATTGATGGCTCGGCGATTGATTAATCAATTTAACCAAAGATCAGTGATGCGAAATGAGATACCAAGTTTTCGCTTCTTTTCGACTGATTCTCTACCAAAGGAGGAGCTTGAGAAAATGGTGAAAAACAATAAGGTTGTCGTATTTATGAAAGGTGTTCCCGATGCTCCAAAATGCGGATTCAGCAACGCTGTGGTTCAAATTCTAAGGATGCACGCAGTCAATTATGATAGTCATGACGTCTTGGAAAGCGATTCTATTCGACAAGGTATTAAGGACTTTACCAATTGGCCGACAATTCCTCAAGTTTTCATCAATGGCGAATTTGTTGGAGGCTGCGATATCTTACTACAAATGCACCAGAATGGCGAATTAATTGATGAACTGAAAAAAGTTGGCATAACAAGTGCGCTATTGAAAGAAACAGAAGATAAATCATCTGAGAAAAAATAGAAAAATTTGCAATGTAAAAATGGAATGATCGAGAATTAAATAAAAATAAAGAAAAAATGACGAAAAAAGTTTGATTTGATTTGAAAACATTGCTTCGACATTTGTGCTTCGTACCCATATACATGAGTGGAGCTCAGTTTAGTACATCACAATCAAATGTCATAGTGGCATGCACATAACCTCAACAAAACATTGTCACATTTGATTTGTAAGTGTGTTGCGGTGATTTCGTTTAATAGTCGAATTAGTGAACATTTAAAAGGGAAATGACGACAAATATTGATATGCGATTAGCATCGAACCGTATTTCCAATACGGTATCCTACACAGAAAATGCTATGCCACGGCTTTTTACGCCGGGCGAAGTTATTACTTCACAACAAGGTTTTATGCGGTATGTATTTGTTCAATCTCCTTCATTCGTTGAATTTTACATTTTACTTTTACATTCAATACAAAAGGGGACACGGAACATACGTCAAAAATGATGAAATTAGAGCTTCTGTAGCTGGGGTTATGGAAAAAGTGAACAAGTTGATATCGGTTCGTCCGTTCAAAAGTCGATATGTTGGCGAGATAGGAGACGTGATCGTTGGACGCATTTTTGAAGTCCAACAAAAGCGATGGAAAGTTAATACGAATTCACGTTTGGATTCAATACTGTTCCTTGCAGCAGTCAACTTACCGGGAGGTAACAATATTTTTGAAAAAGAAAAGAAGAGCATCATCATATTAATCTTTATATTTTCATTGAAAAGGTGAGCTACGACGTCGGAATACTGAGGATGAACAAATGATGCGGAAGTTCTTACAAGAAGGTGATTTAATATCCGCTGAAGTCCAGAACGTCTTTGTCGACGGCAGCTTATCATTACACACACGAAGTTTAAAGTATGGAAAATTATCACAAGGCGTTTTGGTGAAAGTTTTTCCGTAAGTGTTTATAGTGAGTGTATATTATTCAAAATTGAGTGAAAGTAACCCCATTCCCCATATATTTCATAGGTCACTCATCAAGCGCTGTAAAACACATTTCCATAATTTAACTTGCGGCGCATCGGTGATATTGGGAAATAATGGCTTCATTTGGATTTCACCAACCATAAACACGGATATTGAGGGGAGTGGTGGTTTCACACAGAATTTAAGCGAACCAATTGCACGGCCCGACCGTGAAGTGATTGTTCGATTGAGAAATTGCATATTGGCATTGGCTCAATGCAAAATGATGCTCTACGATACTAGCATTCAGTATGCTTATGATGAGTCTTTAAAGTATGAAGTCGAGGAATTGCTAAAACAAGAATCGATTGTCGATTTGGCGTTTTTAACACAACACAGACTTCGTATCCAAGATGAACAGTGAGCAAAAAAATCAAAATCAGCTACTTTGTCTAAGAAATAAAAACCAATAATAAAATCCATATTTTTCATCGAATATTTTTTAAATTTCCTTTTCTCTCTTTTTTATTTATGATGAAAATTGAATAAAAATCACATGGGAGCTAAAACGTAAATATAGCTTAGTTTTATAAAAATTTGTGCACATCGATTGTGCTGAAAATGTGTATAATTTATATACAGTAAAATTATTTCTAGCGTCAAAGCTCAACAGTTTTATCAATTTCAATTTCTTGAGGGAATACCGGATAATGTCCATTAAAAAAAATGCAAATAGCGTTCGCAACATAAAGTTAACCTATGTTAAAATGGTAACGGTACCAAGGTCTGGACTGGTCACACACAATTTTCTAGCAGTTGTATTTTTTGCTATACATTTGGAATAGTATACAATTCTTTACTAAATTGTTATTTGATATTCGACTTCACATTTAAGTGATACAAGTTATATTTTAATTTCGACGAAAAAAGATTAAATTTATAGCAAACGTGAATGATATGTGTTCATTCAAAGATTTCCATGAAGCAAAAAAAAAAAGATAAGCGGCAGATGCTCACGTGAAAAATTGCACTACGTTTTTAATCGAGCGAAATACATTTGATTCAAACCAATTCAGTCATACTTTTGACGAGTAAGAATCAATTGCAAAATATTCTTACCAATAAAATTGAATTGTTTGCCTAATACTTGTCTAAGGAATAAAAACATATTTTATCAAATCCGTATTGGTAAAGTTTGTTCAATTATTATTATATTTCATTCAGCTACTGTTGCCAACCAATATATATATTGTGCTTTTATCTATTACCAAAAATCAATTATTTCATACATTCAGACGTGATTGTAATTATAAGCTTGAAAAATAGTCGTAAATAATTTCTTATTAATACAATGAATCTTAATTAATGCATTGAATCTTTTACCCAATTCTACATTTTGGATTGATTGAGAGAGAAAAACGGGAGTCTAGTTCGTTCATAGTTTAGAATATTTCTTTTAAAAATAAACTTCTAACAGTCAAAATAAATAATAGTGCGATTGGCCAATGTGCTTGTGTGCTATGAAATTCATAGTATAAATTTACGCTCTACAGAAGTTAAAGAGTCGCTCAGTTTAGTTTTTGGAAGAAAAAAGTGATAGAAAATTGAAGCGCATAAATTAAGAATTGAATTCTGGAAATGTCTCAAATCAAAAATACTTTTTGAGAGATGCATCTGATCAAACGGATCAATAGTAAGTATGTTGACCGCAATTCACATCGAACTATTTGATTTTCAACAAAATTTCGACGATTGACTTCTGGTAATTTTGCTTGATTTAAATTAGGCGGAACGATAATTTACATTTAGTTTATGAAAAACAATGAGCAGGGAGAAAATTCAGGTCCATCTTGAGAGAGGAAAAGACACGTCGATTGCACTTTTTCACAACGAGTCGTATAGTCGATAAACAAAAGTAGAAAAACAAAAAAAATCAATGTGATAGTATTTGAATTGCGTTTTTATAGTACATTTAAAAGCTGATACTAAAATAATATCGAGACAAATATTACGTAAAATGTTAGGTTTATGATGGAATAATGGTAGGAAAGAAAGAATCGGTTGTTTTTGTCTCGTCCAATTAACATTCAAGTCTCAATTGATAAAATTAAAAAATTTAAAAGATTTCTTCAAGTCCATTTCCATAATAACTGATAATGGAGAACACAAATAAATAATTTTCTTCAGCAAATAAATAACCGATTGTAGTTGCTCCACCCTTTTGGTATAGTTTAAGAATCCTTCTTTTTCTGTAGCTTTTTGATTAAATTCTCAATCATTGTGCTGTCCACCAGGCCAATGAATTTGTCAACAACGACACCGTTACGAAAGGCTAAAATTGCTGGTACAGCCTTCACCTCGAACGTATTCACAAGATCAATATTCGAATCAACATCCACAACCGCTAGGTCAATATCATCCAATGGTTCCAGCAGCTCGGTCATTTTCGGTGTCAGAATTTTGCCTACAATTGAAACATTAATTAACTGCTCCCATTGGGGGGAGGGTGTTGTTAAAATCACATTTATTGCACTTTCTTACATGGGTCACACCACTCAGCATGAAAATTGACTATAACCGGAATGTCACTGTTCACCACCTATGAAAATGAGACGATAGAACTGTATTAAACATTCAGAATTGTTTGTTATTGGTCCCCATATAGTCATCAACACACGACGTGCTCCGTTTGCTATTACATGAAAAATTTATCGCTTTGCTCTCTCCTCTCTCTCTCCTCATATATTGTCTCTGTCTCTCAATGTTAACTGCATACACACCATACACGCAAATAATAAAATGTGCGTGTAGAACGTGTAGATGGTTGATTCAATTACGACATAACAATTCATCGACTTGACACAATTCACATACATTTGTCGTGTCAAGTATAAACGACTAATATGAAACGATGTATTTTACCTTTTGATCAAATTCGTAGTGATCATTGATGACAAATCGCTTCATATTTGTTGCGGATATCGATAACGTTTTACGGATAGTGCCATCGGTTAAAGATGCTGGCATTTTTTTTAAGGTACATTCTAGCGCTAAACTTGACGGAATTTTCATAGTTGCTCGTAACATTTTTGTTTGTTGATTTGTTTTCCTTTTCTTCTTTCTTTTAGTTAGTATATTATTAGCACACAAAATTCACTGTTTATTTTAAATTTTATTGTCAATTTAATTTCTTCTACAGAATCAATCTGTCGTCCAACCGTTTTATTTCGCAACGTTTAATATTTTAAACTGGCTGACTCATTTGCACCCAAAAAGTACATACATTATCTAATTCGCACGAAATCGAAGAATATGCCGAAAACGGAACAAGTATCACAAGCTCAACACAAAGAACACTTATTGGTTTGTGTTTGTGATTTACATGTGTGCTAGACGAAGGGAAAAGTCCATAATGACAACTGAAAATTAAAACCGATTCTCTGGGTGAACATTAGCTCATCGATATGTATGAGTGAATGTTCTGATTGTTTGCCGGATTTTTATAAATCGTTTTTGAATGATAGTCATGTAGAACACACACTGTATTTTTTTCTCTCAATAATTCTTGGATTCAATATGTTCGATTAAAATATACAACGTCCTTGACACTAAACCTTGCTAAAACACAACACGGCCTCTATCTATTTGACATTTAGTATGGTAAATTTGCAATTTCTTGTCAAATCGAACAAATATCATCAATTCATTCTAAGTTTAAACTTAAATAGTTTGTAAGTAATTTGTTTTAAAATTATCACGAAAAATAGTAAATCATTCAAAAATAGATTTGATTTTACATTTGAATTGCTTTTAAATTAGATTATTTGCTATCCAATAAAGCTCAATTATTTATTTAAAGAAAAAACAACAAGCAAATGTTTGACGAAATTTACGTAAGAATTGAACCACTAAAACTAAACGAAAAATCTGAACGGAGTGACACTGTTGCTTTTCTGTGATAATTCAAAATACACACGAAATAATAATCCAATCTCACAATCGTACGAGAAACAGAACGATGTGAATGTGAGCCCGGATGGCAAGTAAATACAATACCAAATGAAAGAAAAATTATCAAAGGTCCAATACATTGGACTGTACAGTAACCCACATATACATTCATATATACTCTTGACTATCAGTCATGACGTTAGCTACTACAACACGCGTATACGACTGAACAGCACCACAAATTTTATACACATATTATTTGTCAAACCTCCTGCTTATACATAACAAATCCAGAGCTTCATTCTCTCACCACTAAGAAGAAACTAGTTTTCGATAGATGGCAGTACTTGTCTATGATTATATTTTTTATAGAATTTATTGATTTTTGTTATAATTCTCCATATTTTGTATCCCATTATGATTTACAGTAATTCCTTTTGTGAGATATGTAATTTCAAATCTAATTTTCGTCATTAAATATTTTATTTGGTTCCACCATTTGAGTTGAGCAAACTTATATGACAGAGACCATAAAAGCTTTGATAAACAGATGTTCTGACATTTGCGGCTGTATGTTGAAACAATCAAAGTTCCAGAAAAAAAAATTACTTGGGGAATAAAATTCAAAACATAACAATTCTGCCGTTCAAATGATTTTGCACGACATGTATATTCACCATGACTAATGAATAATGATGATGATACCGATTTTCGTCGGTTTTAGTCCATTCTCAAATGTCAGTGTCACATAGCACATTGCATCATAATACAGTAGACATTGTGCTGTTGCCACCTTCATAAACACTTCGTATTGTTATTTTTGATGAATCTACAAGTTGGTATAATTTATTGCCTACTTTTTAATCGTTCAATCAATGGTTTGATTCAAAGCAACCAGTTGATATTGTAAATATACACAAAGTAAATGATATTCACGTGGTAGTGTAATTTCATTTGTAGTAAAGACCGCACCAATCAACGGCATTCGTAGTTGTAGCCGAACTAGTATGGTAATAAGTTTGTCGTTCAACGTTGCTTAGATACCAAACTATTTTCATTTACTCTTGTAAAGACCGACGATTACTTTATCATGACTTGTTATCTTGTTTGTTTCATGTAATTGTCATCGATGTGACGTTATAAACCTGAAGGCATCTAAAATACTTGGTGGAATTTTGCAGAGTATTGTAAAATCACGCAATAATCTATTATCATCATTAGTTGGTGTCCAACAACCGTTCGGCAGAATGTCAACATTAAATGATTCAATTATTCCGCCACGCATCCCATTTTCAAGCGACTTCTTTTTTCGACAGGTAAGAATTTGACGTTTTTAATTTAAAGTTTTCGATGAAACATCTATATATATTAATGCACTTGCCCAAAAAGTTTTGGTACCATTTTAACCATTTTATACCCAACTGATTTTGATGCCAATGGTACCATTTGAAAGGTCGTGAACAGTAGATGTGCAGAATGCCAATCAGAATTCACATATGTCAAGTTTGACATGAGTTTGAAGCATGTTAGAGAACACCTTCTTCCGGGTCCAGGGTTTCCCAAAGTTTTTCGAATTTTTTCTTTTGAAAATAGCAGATTTTCATTGTATTATTTTTTCTCTGGGTTTGTTGTTCAATTTGTGAGAAATTAATAAAGTTGGTTTTAAAAAATTTAGACAAATTTAAAAATTCCTAATTCACATATATGCAGATAATGCTTTGTGAATGTGGAAATGCGTGCAGAACCGGAACGAGAGCGACCCGCGCGCAAAGCGCGAGTGGAGGTTCTATGGGTTCTATTTCGCTTCTTTATTTTTCCAACGCATTGTCTGCATATACATATGTGAATTATGAATTTTTAAATTTGTGTAAATTTTTTAAAACCAACTTTATTAATTTCCCACAAACTGAATAACAAACTCAGAGAAAAAATAATACAATGAAAATCTGCTATTTTCAAAACAAAAAATTCACTCACGGAATCAATAACACGTGCCATTCAAATTTTCAACCATTCCATCAATTCAAATAGAAAGAAGTGTTTATTATTGGCCGATTCATCGGCCACTTGGCGACCCTAGTTGAATCAATCTAAAAAAAAATACATATGGCAAAGACACTTGTCACAGAGTGTAATGGGTGATTTCGTTAATTGGTTGTAAATTTTGAAAGTATGATTTGCAATAATCTCGTTTCTTTGTGGTTTCGTTGACCCTTTAACATTTATTGGATCATATAGTATAGATACATTCAGTTTCTGGCCAACAATATTTGTTTTGAAAAGATACTCAGGTCACAGGTGAACAGGTATAGCTCTATGGTCTAAACAATTTTAGATTTTACATGTAATTCTTTCTTAACTCAGACGAATTTTTTCTCCCAATTTAAATTCTATTACTTTTTTTGGAGTAGCTGAACAATAATCATAAATTTACAATCAGAATTATAAATATCCTACCTATTGCGGTCTAACCAAAGGGCAAACCAAATAAGGCGATTCAACGTGTTTGACTCATTGGAATAGGATATTTTAGAAACTCATCAAATTTATTACGTTACGCAATTCGCGTATTGTAATTTGGAACAAAAAAACATGATTTTGATACTAGATAAATTAGCTAATTACTTTTCCGTACACAACGTGTCATGGGAAAGTATAGGAATTGGTCCCGAAAACTTTTTTCTCAAAATTAGCTTAGAACATCATAAAAACTCATGAAACGCATAGAAAACCACTTTTTGAGACACTTTTCCGTTCGTGTGCCGTCGTTGTCGTTGTCGTTGGTGTGTGTTAACACGATAACTCGAAAAATAATTAAGATAATAAAAATCTGAAAGTCCCAAAAGTTTTGTATCCGAAAAACTTAAGTTTAAGTTCGAAGATGAGCCATTTTCGATTTGACCCTGTGGTACTTGCTCTAAGAAAAACCTCAAAAAATTGACACTTTTGTATGGGAGGTACCCATAAATCGACTCCGATTGGCTTCAAACTTTCTAAGGTTTCATTTTTTAGAATTTTTTTCGACTAAAATGACTGATTTTTCGGCTATTTCATATGGGAGGTACCCGTAAATCGAATCTGATTGGCTTCAAATTTTATGAGGTTACATTTTTCGGAGAAAAACTAAGATTCTGAAAGTTTCATGTTGATCGCATTTGCAGAAGTTTGATTTTTTGTCCTCAATTTTTGTCGAAATTTTCTTGGAAAAATTGAGGGCCAAAAACCAAACTTCTGCAAATGCGATCAAGATGAAACTTTCAGAATCTTAGTTTTTCTTCAAAAAATGAAACCTCAGAAAATTTAAAGGCAATAGGAACCGATTGTCGAAATTTTAGTTAAAGTGACCGATTTTTCAAGAATATTGAAAAAACCAAAAGTACGGACAACGGTACGGAAAAGTTTGGGATTACGAATGTAATTCTTTCTATTTGTTATATGAATGGTCGATGATTTCACACCAGCCAGGGTAAGGTTTGCAATGAGCATCTGCGTATTTGCATGGTTAGAGAGAGAGAGAGTCGTTGGAACTGTAAAATGTCTCTCACGCCTACCCCCCAAAGGCTTATTCAGGCCCTTAAAATGGGTTTTGAACCCATTGTATAAAAAGTGTAAAAATTCAATTTGACGTATTGTCAAGTTTCTATCACTTAGAAGAAGAACGTTATCTTATCACTTAGAAGCTAGCCAGTCTCGAGTTCTTCAATCAACTGGTGACCATTCTATTACGATTTTTCGACTATATGTTTTTATCATGATGATATATTCAGATGAAATGCCACTATAACTATATACTATATCAATATAGATAGCAGTGCCGTCTTAGCACTTTCGGGGGCCCTGAAGCAAAAATTTCCGGGGCCATAAATTTTTTTCTCAATAGCACAAAATTCAATATTTTGAATGTTGCGCCAATTTCGATTGAATTCAAAGAGATGAATTCAGAGTTATTAAACTTTGCCGTTTTTCATTTATGTTTTGATTACTGCTGGACATGAACGCTCTTATTCATGCGAATGTATATGTGACTCAACATCCAATTCGAATTGACAAACGAAACCTATCGTTATCTCTATTCTCCCTCTATGTTTAATTACATTCGTCTGGAAGAGTCAACCATACTTAGCAATAAAGAATTTCGATCAATTCGATCGATAAACTGTTTATGTTTTGATGTCTATTCGTGAGACGTAAAAGAATGTATGTTTTTTTGTCGATTTATATTTTTGAAACGGAAAGTATGTTTTCTGTTGATTCTATCTGCGTTAAAAGGAAGTATGTTGGCATCCCGTCTAGCCTCCGCGGTTTTTCACGGTTGCCGCAGAACTGATAAGAGATAACAACTTGATGTCTTCAGCAAAGTTGTAGTACTCGAGGTCTTCTATAACATTGCTGAAGACAACTATCTCTTATCTCTTATCAGTTGCGCGCAAATTGCGCACATAAAAAAGCAAATTTTATATAGAACTTTTTTTTTTCTTATCATCTTTCGCGCTTTTCGCGGAACTGATAAGAGATAAGAGATAACTGACTTCAGCAATGTTATAGAAGACCTCGAGTGCTACAACTTTGCTGAAGACATCAAGTTTTTATCTCTTATCAGTTCCGCGGAAACCGTGAAAAACCACGAGGACCCGCTAAAAACGAACATACATTCTTTTAACCATTTTTAGTTGCAATGAAACATACTTCTCTTTATTGCTACGAAGTTGGACCAACTTGAGTTCTTTTACGTCTCACCAATAGATATGTAAACAATTATACCACTGACCATTCTATTAAAAAGTGAGCCACACTACTTACATCCAAAAAGTAAGACAGAAACAACAAATAAGGCGAAATATATGTATGTATATGACTTTTTTCGTCTTGCAGTTGAAATTCTTTGATTACTCATTCTTATTTGACATTCAATCGTTTCTGCTCAGTGGTTGAATGTGAAATTTTGAATAATTTGGACTTCGATGAAATAATTGATGATTTTATTTACGCTAAAAATAGGGCCAAAACCATTTCCACAGCGTCGTCGTCACGCGCATCAACTGTTTTGTAGACAGCAAACAAACCACGGAGATTGAAATAAATTCGGGAATTTTTGTATTTTTTGTGTGTTTTTTTCAATTTTCTTTGATAAGATTTTCTCTTAATATTTCAAGGGCCTTTTCAGCAGCTCGGGGCCCTGAAGCGGCTGCTTCATTCGCTTCCAGGCTAAGAAGGCACTGATAGATAGCTATTTCTGAAAATATTCAGCATATACTAGTTTGTGAAAGGGCAAAAAATCCGATGCTGTTCTCCATAAGTGTCAACTCTTTTCCTTCAATACAAAACATTTACAGGCCAACAACTTCATTCGACGATTTTTCCACTATGCTTTTTTAAGCATGAAAACTGTTGCTGTAGATTAAATGTCTATTTTTCCACATTTTCCTCTCTCCAATACACCAAATTATATAAATTTATTACTTTTCCGTACACAACGTGTCAAGGGAAAATATAGGAATTGGTCCCGAATTTTTTTTTCGCAAAATTAGCTTAGATCATCATAAAAACTCATGAAACGCGTAGAAAACCACTTTTTGAGACACTTTTCCGTTCGTGTGCCGTCGTCGTCGTTGGTGTTTGTTAACACGATAACTCAAAAAATAATTGAGATAATCAAAATCTGGAAATGCCAAAAGTGTTGTATTTGAAAAACTTAGTTTAAGTTCGAAGATGAGCCATTTTCGATTTGATCCTGGGGTACTTGCCCTAAGAAAAACCTCAAAAAATTGACACTTTTGTATTGTAGGTACCTGTAAATCGACTCCGATTGGCTTCAAACTTTCTGTGATATCATTTTTTGGGAGAAAAATAAGATTCTGAAAGTTTGAAACCAATGAGAATCGATTTACGGGTACCCCCCATACAATTTTTTTGAAATTTTGACTAATATTACCGATTTTTGGACAATTTCGTATGGGAGGTACCCGTTAATCGATTCTGATTGGCTTTAAACTTTCTGGGGTTTCATTTTTTGGAGAAAACATAAGATTCTGAAAGTTTCATGTTGATCGCATTTGCAGAAGTTTGATTTTTTGTCCTCAATTTTTGACAAAATTTCTTGGAAAAAATTGAGGGCCAAAGACCAAACTTCTGCAAATGCAACCAACATGAAACTTTAAAAATCTTATTTTCTCTCCAAAAAATGGAACCTCAGAAAGTTTGAAGCCAATAGGAATCGGTTTACGGGTACCTCTCATACAAAATTGTCGAAGTTTTAGTTAAAGTGACCGATATTTCACTTTATTTTTATTATTATATTTTCACTGCTTTTATTTCAAAAAAATTCACAAAATAAACCAAAAGTACCTACGGACAACGCAGGCCAACGGTACGGAAAAGTTCGGGATTACCAATGTAATTCTTTTTATTTATGTATGCTTTCTTTGTCATCGCGCAAATACGAAAACAACGTAGTTATTCGATTCAGTAAGCAGCACGTACACCTATTTACTGGCTGATTTAACAACAAAGGAAGCAGTCCTAATAGATCCAGTATTGGAGCATGCAAAACGTGATGCACACCTGGTGAATGAGCTTGGATTTCAGCTCAAATATGCAAGTAAGTGACTACAAACCGAGTGTAAAAATTATTATTTGTGAAACATATACGTATAGTCCCTAAATCACAGACAATTGTCGTCCAAAAGTTGTTTTATTTATTTATTTATTAATCTCTGTTGGCATGTTCATGTTCATTTGTGGAAAATTGGATAATATTGTAAATTTGATTATCATTATTATTATGACTCTAAAATAATACCATAGGTTGTTAAACATTCTAATTTCTCTATATTCATTCGTTCACAATTATTTCTCAACATACATGATTTATACTATATGCGACTTGGATATATGACACAGTGAATACCCACATGCACGCGGACCATATAACCGGTATAGTTCCTCGTATTAAAGTAAGTTTGCCCAAAATGCCTCAAAATATGAATGTTTTCAGGCACTGGTTATTTAAAACAGTTGCTACCGAATGTACGTAGCGTCATTTCGCAAGCAAGTGGAGCTATTGCTGACAAACACATCAGCGATGGCGACGTCCTTTCATTTGGACGCCATGAAATCGAAGCTGTTTCAACACCTGGACACACTAACGGCTGCATGACCTTTATCAATTACGAACAGGTAATTTTCCATTTACAATAATGATTAAATTAGTAGAAATGAACCAGTGAGCATAAAAACAACGTATTGACTCTTCGCCGATGAATACGAAACGCAAAAAAATCGCCGAACAAAGTGAAACACCAATCTGTTATTGGATCAATATGAAGCATGATCGGCGACGCGCTCAATGTACTGTTTTGGAAAAATATGCATGATTTGATACAGTTTTGAGTCCATTGGTATGATGATTCATTTTAACACAACACCCATTCTATTTCGCTCACACTTACGTGCACTTTAACGTTGCTGAAACATGTACGTTCTTGTTTCTTTACTGCGCACATCTTTTTAACAGTAAAGCAGACTACTTTGTTATACGGGTAAAAATTGCACGTAAGTGTGAGCGAAATAGAATGGGTGTTGTGCGTCCGTGTTTTGGCCATGTATAGATTTCACTATATAAACCAATGTATTCACAGCGGCGTGAACCCGCGTTCCGAGGATTTCATACAAACTTCCCATGTAGACGATCCGAAATAGGCAACAGTCGAAAAAAAAAGTTTAAATTTTTTTTCGATTTTCATATAGTATTTTTTCTGCTCTATTGGTGTTATCGGCACATCGAAATTCGCGCTCCGTATCAGTTAATTTTCACTTCATAAACAAATCACGACCAAAACCACCATTAAAATGAATCATCATACCAATGGACTCAAAAGTGTATCAAACATTTTTGTTTCAATTAAAGTGAAACACAATTTCTATAGTCAGCCGATATTTCACGATTCACTTTCAAGCGAACAGAATTTATGTTGCACTCGCACAAAACTGTATCAAATCATGCATATTTTTCCAAAACAGTACATTGAGCGCGTCGCCGAACAAAGTGATACAACGTTCTGTTACTGGAACAAAATGAAATACTTGCCGCGCTTCGAAACAAAGCGCAACGTAAATAAAATAGTGGCCAACGATTTCATGTTTCATATTGATCCAATAACAGATTGGTGTTTCACTTTGTTCGGCGATTTTTTTGCGTTTCGTATTCATCGGCGAAGAGTCAATACGTTGTTTTTATGCTCACGGGTTCAAATGTGCAACAGCAAATTTGCTAAACAAAGCATAACATAATCAACAATATTTTGAGAGTTTTCTATGAAAATGAGTGTCAATCATCATTAAAGCAAGACAATTTCTTATTACTTGACAAAAAAGTTACGTAATAAATATGATATTTGATCATGAGCTGATATATTTTATATGATTTATCAAATATTTTTTTCGACAATGACTCTTATCTCCACACCAGCTAATAATTTTTTTTTTTGCGTCAATATATTCAATTGCACAGGGCATTGTATTCACTGGTGACACTCTGTTGATTCGTGGCTGTGGACGTACGGATTTTCAAGAAGGCAACTCACGTACTCTTTATCAATCGGTGCACGACAAGATATTCAATTTGCCGGATAATTATCGAATCTATCCTGCTCACGATTATAAGTATGTGTTGGCTCATTTTACTTCCCTGTTCGAATAGATTTTTTTATAACTCTGTTTAATTCAACTCGACTCATATGTATGAATCGCAAATTCGATTTTTTTTCGTATTCCAGAGGACAATTGGAGAGCAGTGTGGTTGAAGAAAAACGTTATAATCCCCGTTTAACAAAAGACATTGACACATTTGTGGAAATAATGGAAAACTTGAATTTACCTAAGCCTAAAATGATTGGTGAGTGTAAAAATACGAAATTTCTGTTGAGTTAGAGGAGATACATTCTCATTACAAAATTCACTTGAAAAAATTCAAATGAAAGGTACAAAAAAATTATACCTTCCAATTGCCACTCTGAATCGATACATGATCTCAATACTAATCAATCAACGCTTCAGTTTTAGAAAAACTTCTGGATGGCCAGAAGTTAGTCCGTTCACCCGAAGAGCTTTCAAAAGTTCGGTTGGCTACTCTGATCAAAAGGTGTATATGAGTTTAAGTAGTGTGATAGAACCGTCGTTTGGCGATATGACTTTTTTGGTTTCAAATCGGAATTTTCGCGTAAAATTCTAACACAAATGCAAATTTCTAATGTTCCAAAGACAAATCCCGTTATAAAAAAATTCGTTGAATTTATATGCACCTAATTGTAATACCACCAAATCCAGATAAAATGTTTTTTTTTCTATTTCACCCCCATTCATTTCAATGTTCAGCATAAATAAACCTCAACATACAATCTACAAAACTATGGTTTTAGAAAGAGATAGAGTAGATCGTAAATGAGACACAGGGGAAACATTGAATTCCCGATCGATACGTTGCACTGCGTTTCTGTTATGTTTCACATTCATCTTCGCATACCTAAACGAAAAACGAAAAGAATAATTTTGCAGAGTTCTAAGGAATCTTATTTAAAGCTTTATGTTTGAATGTGTGCAAATATTGGAGAAAAAAATCTCCACTTTTCTTCCAGAAAGACTGAATATTTTGGCATCGAGTGATGACAAATAAATAATAAAAAGAATTACATTGGTAGTCCCGAACTTTTACGTACCGTTGGCCTGCATTGTCCGTAGGTACTTTTGGTTATTTTTTGTGCATTTTCTTGAAATAAAGGCAGTGAAAATATAATAATAAAAATAAAGTGAAAAATCGGTCACTTTAACTAAAACTTCGACAATTTTGTATGAGAGGTACCCGTAAACCGATTCTCATTGGCTTTAAACTTTCTGTAAGAAATAAGATTCTGAAAGTTTCATGTTGATCGCATTTGCAGAAGTTTGGTTTTTGTCCCTCAATTTTTTTCAAGAAAATTTCGACAAAAATTGAGGACAAAAAATCAATCTTCTGCAAATGCGATCAATATGAAACTTTCAGAATCTTATTTTTTCTTCAAAAAATGAATCCTCAGAAAGTTTGAAGCCAATCGGAGTCGATTTACAGGTACCTCCCATACAAAAGTGTCAATTTTTTGAGGTTTTTCTTAGGGCAAGTACCCCAGGGTCAAATCGAAAATGGCTCATCTTCGAACTTAAACTAAGTTTTTCGGATACAAAACTTTTGGCATTTCCAGATTTTTATTATCTTAATTATTTTTTGAGTTATCGTGTTAACAAACACCAACGACGACGACGACGACGACAACGACGGCACACGAACGGAAAAGTGTCTCAAAAAGTGGTTTTCTACGCGTTTCATGAGTTTTTATGATGATCTAAGCTAATTTTGCGAAAAAAGTTTTCGGGACCAATTCCTATACTTTCCCATGACACGTTGTGTACGGAAAAGTAAAATATTAGTAAAAAAGAAGCGAAATACCTTGAATTTTACGTGAATGAGCATAAACATTGCTTCGAAATTATTTCGCATTTAAATTGCGCATTGTGTGTGCAGAAGAGATTGGAGAGAGATGGAGAAAGGGAGAGAGAAATGGATGAAGAATATCAATTCAACGGTTTCATACATCTGCATAAATGGAAAGGATAGGATTTGTTGATAAGTGTTTTCTTTTACTGTGACAGAAGCTACTTTTATTGGCTTTTAGTGTTCATCGCTCGCGAATAAAATTCGATTTTAGCACGTTTTTCTATGTATTATCCTTCTTTTACATTCTGAGAGTAGTAAAGTCGGCAAATGTTTGTACTTCAATTTTCGGCACAAATTGTGTATATAAAATGCTATACGTATTAAATTTTGAATATCGATAGTGAAAGAAAAATTATTTTGATGTAAATAAAAATGACAATTTTACAAATCGAACACTTCAATTGCAAAATATCATAATGCAATTAAACCAATTATTTATTAAAAACTTTTTTCTTCAATTCAAATAGATGTTGCGGTGCCAGCTAATCAAGCTTGTGGTCTACATGATATTCCAACTAACTAGGCGAAATTTACCTCAAAAAAATGCTGAGTTGTACAATTACCGTGTTTGATTTCATTTATTCATTCATTTAAAACCACCAAATGAATATGCATATAATACGTATATATTTTTATAAATTTGTATTTTATTTCTGCTTTTATAAAATTTATCAAACAGGCAGATTAGTCTATCTTTCGTTCGTGAATTTGACACACAGTTCAAGGTTACGAATGTATAATGGTTCAATAAATAATTTTATATTGGTTAAAAAGTACTAAACAAGAGACATTCTGGTGCATTAAAACATGCTTTGATTTGATGCTTATTGATTTTAAGTGAATTAGTCTGGGTTTGTAAGTGGTTTTTATGACTCACATTGGGCATATCAGAAATATGTTTGCACCTCAAGTTGCCAACAAAACGAGCATTTATTCTATTTATCACTACTCGAATGTGTTTGCATTACTCGACCTACCTTATTATACATAAGAACAATGGTTCTTATATGTAAACAGACGACGGCACATGTTATTTGATGTCAACAATTACATCAACTGCAGTACACAAACCGAAAAAGCTTTTACAATGTTCACATATTCATTGGATTGATTATATGCCTCTTGGAGAACCAAAACTCATACGTATACAATGATTTTTGATATTTGGAAGAAAAAAAGATACAAATATGATTAAACAAATATATAATAAAACAAATCGATTAAAAATGTGAGACAAATGTGAATTTCCAATAACACACAGGTATGATTTAATAAAATATTATTTTGAAATCGAATGGAAAATTTCTTCGATCTACGGGTATGGACCCGTACTGTGTTAACTTACTTTTGGTATCATTTTTGTACCGAAAACCATGAAATCACTAGCAAATTACTACATATTCCCAGCAGACAATGAACTATAATTGTTTGCCATTAATTATTTTTCCGTGTATGGAGAAAAATCTCTGCTATCCTTCTATTTTTTGCCGTACTCATACGCATTGCTATGATTCGAACTCTTTAAGTTGAAAACATTTCAACTATCCGTTTGAATCAATCGACTGTCACTCTGTCGAATATGCTGGAATAATGATTATTACAACTGGTAAAACGCAGATAAGAGAAAAATGGTAATAATTTTTTGGGGTTGTTGAGCACGCTCTTCAGTAGTCATAGTCGTAGTCAGACGCTTGTCTCCGTCAATAGAACTGACAGTCAAACTTGATGCGTCACCGTATCTCCGCTATCGCAAGCGATGAGAACGTCCGCTCGCACAAACAGAAAGACAAAAACATGCGCATTTCATCGACACTCCCTTATCACTTCACAGTCATATAATGTTGACTGCTTGGCTGCGTTTGATTTTCATATGGTATTGTTCTTTCCAAAGCATTCGTGCATTATGCTCCATATTTCGAATTCATTACGTTCTCGACTCTTATCCTTTTGTTCAAGCTCAACGTTGGTTCTTTTGTAATTTTGAATGCTAAATGGTGAATTCCAACAAAGAAAAGTACGATTTTTTCTCTCTGCAGCCGAATCTGAAGGATATTGAGTTTTTCACAATGTCACGTATTGAGTTCTTTCGTTCATTCGTTCGTTCGTTTACGTTCATATGAACAAGAACATCGGGCGACTCATATTGCTAACGACAAAAAAAGTTAGTGTCTTCATCAGACTGTAATATGCGTCATTTCATCGCTGCCTGACGAACGTATCATGCATCCCATGTATCGCTAGACTATACAACAATACAGTACACCAAAATATTTTAATCAACACATAATTTTCGATATTCAAGTATGTATGCACATTTCGAATGAAATTACTATAAAATCAGAGCCAAATGTATGAAAGTCGGAAGATTTTTTGTCCGAATCGAATATTTTGAATCGAATCATAAGCGGTATAAATTAAATTTCAATATTGTCATATATTGTATCATCAAATAAAATGTAACTGAGAAATCGGTTGAATATTTTTCAATGTTGTGCTCAAAGCACAAGCATTTAATTCTCAAATTAGATCAATTCCAATTCATTGTACCGTTCATTCATATACTCTATGCATGACGAACGAAAGTCACAGTAAAATCTCTATAATTAACGGGATTGCCGTTTGCAAACAAGAGAGTGAAGCATCTCGCCCCACCCTTGAACATATCTAAATATAAACGGCTAGTACCACTTGCGAAACACAAAGAATAGTTTAACACAAGAAATGCTCAATTGAGATTTCGTGGATGGCGCCTACACTCGCAAAGCTTGCAAACGATTCAAGGGACATCGAAGTGTACATATTTCTGGCAGTGTTGATGCGAATAGATGATAAAATTTAGTTTCAGATGGAAACGTTGATAGTGTGACGCATATGAAACATATCACCAATACAATAAACATGATATATCTTATAAAATTTGTCTTGTATGAAAGGAATTTCAGTGCAATTTGGTCGGCATGTTCGGTACAATTGAGTCTACTCATTCGATATCGTACACAATGTTTACATTACATTCATATGTCATGAATGTGAACTGTTGATTGTTGGTAGTTGTGCAGTTGGACAAAATAAAAATTGACCATTAGTATTGGTTTTTGGCACAACTGATGGCATATTCAGTTTTTTTTCACAATAATTTAAACAAAAAGGCCATAAAATAACGTTTGAGCTAAGTAGAATGTCATTGGGTAGAATGCCAAAATTCATCCCAGACACTGACTGACCATGGAAAAAATTTGCTTTGATTTACATCAAACTGCAATGGATGAGTCATGATCATGAAGCATATATTATGATTTTGTTTTATACAGCGTATATTATGAAAAATAGGGATAGACCGAAAATGAGCCCCTCAATATAGTGGACGAACAAAAAAAAATACTTTCATAAAATTTATAATCATATTATCCAATGGCTTTATGAAATGACAGAGAAATTATTTTTAGTACTTTTCAATGCATATTCCGTTCGATATGGTCGTATCGGGTGGTAGCAACGTCTACTTGTCACCAGGATATGAGTATATCCTGGTGACAGAAAGAGAAAATAATTGAAACTCATAATTACAATTTGATATGATTCAATATAGAGTATATACTAAACTATATAGTTTTCAACCGTCGTTCAAGTGGTTGTAGAGAATTATGGTTACATAGTGCGCATGACATACAGTACACTGACGTGTCTCCATAATGTCTTTGCCATTTATGTGAAACGCTTTGTCTTTGGCTCCCTTTTGAACACTCGTGCTAAGCCCAAGACATGAGCCATCGTACATATATATATATATATATATATATATATATATATATATATATATATAATCTCGTATATCTCGTTGTGAAAGAGGGAAAAAAATTACAAAACATTTCGTACATACACAAATGCAAGACTGTACCATAGCGACCGATACCGTACAGGTATACGCTTGCGCATAATACCACAACATTGATACGCCACGCTATTAACATAGCCATAGACGGGCACGAATACATACGACCACCGAGTAATGTGCTCGGCTCCACCATATTTCTTTATTCCGTTTGAGCTGTGTGTAATGTGCATACAACTTCGTATTTAGTTCATATTGAGCAGTGTGTCAGAATCAGTGAACTATTTGGTGAATTTTCGTCAATCACGAAAACTTTTCTAATCATTCAATTTATTCAAGTGAATCATAGATTGAACGTTATTTGGTGCTAACTGAATCTACAGTGACATTTCATCGGAATTTTAGTGTAAAAAAAGAGAATTATCTGTGTAAGAAAATTTTATTTAAAAAAAAGCGCTAATTCCATTGAAGGATTTGCTCGTTTGAAAGCCAAATTGCAAAGAAATCATCAAGCAAAGAAAATCCATTTTAACTTCATTGTCAAGTGGCTCTTAGGAAAAAAAATCGATTTGAGTGTCTTTTCAAATTCTCAAGAGTATTTTTTTTTTTTATTCTAAATTCAAGTACAAAAATGACGAAAATGCAATGCAAAATTAGTCTGGATTCAAGATAATCCGCAGTTTTACTTTCGGTATATAGAGCTGTTAGTGGAGTTATCAAGATCCCCTGTCTTCATAAACAAACAACAGCAGTGACGAAACGAATGATAAAACTGCGTGACTGAATCGGTGTAAGGGGCGTAATTGTGCATTGTATTTTAAATTTTGATTAATCGTGTGTGAATTTCTGATTATTTTTTTTCCTATATTTTGCATAATTTTTTTTGTAGCAAGTTTAAATGAAAATAGTTTGGAAAAACACTTTATGAACGCATCGTCCAAATTAAACGTTGCGGTTTGCAACTGATTATCATTATAATCATTGTGATTTGAAGTGAGGTGCAAAAGAGTGCAATACAACGGAATATCTTTCAATAATAATCGATTGAAACATACATTTACTTTGGATTTACAATACCAGTGTTGTGACAGATTTGAACAGACACACTCATATTTTGCCCACGTATTTCGAATTGAAAACGAATGAAAAACGGATTGAAAATGACACCAAAGCCCATCTACTTGAGTTGCGTTTTATTTGTGTGGACACTGGCTGCTGTTCAAGTAAGTTTACGATTTTATTTTTCATTAAGATATTCACAATTGTTAAGGCTCACACTTTTAAGATGATGTTCTGCGAGTACACTTCATAGTCAACATCTGATTCGAGATACACATTGGCTTACAATGTTATGATATAGTTATCCCAAATTAAAGAAAAATACTTCAATGTTAATTATAAAAACGTTGATCCAACTTTTCCCAGAAAATTGCATTTGTAATAATCATCATTGACAGCAATCTAAACATATTTGCAGAAAAAAAACTTGATGCAATGACTCATATCATCTGTAATATAACTTTGATTTTGTTTCAAGAGTAAAATGTTTTATTTCAATCGATGTGTTCTTTTTCGGTTGGTGCTTGATCAAAAACGACGTTTTTTCTCCCATGAACGACTAATAGATATCCAAGCTGAATTATTGAAATGAAGAGTTTATACATAAAATTCCTTCCGGGTGACAAAAGTGAATTACTAACTGTTGTCAGTAATTTTGACTTTAATTCGGCTCCCTTGGCTTCGATAATATGTTTATTATGTTGTTTCCAGTGTAACAAAACTCTGTTTCCATCTTAATTGATTCTATACTCATGCATATTTTAGATGCATTGTTTGTTTCATATGGTTTGCTCATCATCATCCTCCTCCTCCTACTGCCCATTCATCTACACCTACGCACATATGCAGCGATCCGCTGTTAATATTGTGATACATAAATTTATTATGATACACCGAATAGGCATTTGAACAGCAACACAAAAGAGCTGAAAAGTGTTCTATATGTTATCATGCTGTGCGTGTACTGGCGTCACTTTCATCAATTTCGAGAGAGCTGAACGCATACTGAATACCCCTTTCTGTGTATATTGCACACAACGTACACATTAGATTCAATTTCATTCGAATTTTAAATTCAACACTCTATCAACATGTGAAAACGTAGTACATCTAGTCTGATGTGAATGTGAACACCTCTCTTTTTTGCATTGAACACAAATTTATCAACTTATTTTCATTAATTTTTCGAACAAAAGAAATCCAATAACCAGAACAATATCACAATATATATATAAACGGTCGTCAGTGTTTGTAATTTGAACCTGATTTTATATTTGAGCGCTATGACTGGGTGACGCAACAGAAACCATACCAAACACCACACACTTTTGAAAAAGATAGAACCGACAAAAAAAACTATGGTTAATGCCAACCGTACGTCAATATTCATTATTCATGTGCGCATTCTCATTATTACTCGTTTTCGCAAAGGGGACTCATTTGAATTTATAAAAAAATATATCTATAGTTTTACAACCAAGAGCCATACTTATGCACGCATTTTTAATTATTTATGTTGTTCTTTACTTGGAACAAAAACCCAATTCGTATACATTACACGTGGCATTCCTTCCTTTATGCATCACAATGCAAATATGAAAAGAAGCAAAGCATCGATTTTGAAAGCATTTTATAGCTATTATGATGACAATCATATCTGGCAGCGGAAAACTGAATATGATTATAATCATCAGCAATAATAATAAATTATTACTGTTTTTCTTATTGTTCTTGAATAGGGCGGGTCGATTTTTTTTTCGACCAAATACCTATGATTTCCGTGTTCTATGGGTCATTCCAAGAAAATTTGCCCAAGGAACCATATCTCTATCGTTAAAATCGAGTCTGCAAGTTTTTTCCTGTAAGTATTTTGCGCACCTATGAAGTGTCAATTTCATTTTCACATCCATAATTCAAAAACTATTGATCGGATCAAGTTGATTTGACAACCATTGGAAAGCTGAGCTCATTCTGATCAATTTACATATAAAAATCATCG